CTTATCTTCCAGGCAAGAGACTGGTGATCTGAGCAGCCCAAGAGAGAGGAGCTGAAGATACAGGCTATTTCAAAGCCTAGCCACCCCACCCTCAGAATCCCCCACCAGGGCGTTAGTCCCCTCTCTTAATATAAACAGATAAAAAAGAATTCTAGACAGAGGGGCAAAGTCTTAAACATGAAAAATAGACATTAAAACACACCAAGAGATAAAAGCAACTTGGAGGAAACAGGAAACTATTTAAGAAAAAGAAAATCTCTAAATCAAAAATATAAAAAATCTCAGAAAGATATGATACTATAACCATGAACCAGAACAGGATAGTATGGGAAAAGGATCACTCAAAGCAAAGAGTTCTTGTAAATTAAATACAAGTAAGAAGAAAAAGTAAAAAATTTAATGGCAAGCTTAGAAAGAAAACTTAAGAAATTGCTCAGAAAACAGAACAAAACAAAAGACATGGAAAATGTATGGAGAGAAAATGTATGGACATTAGATGACTATTCCAGGAGGTCCAATATCCAACTGTGGATTCCAACAAGAGAAAAAGTAATCACTTAACTAATACAAAAAGTTTTCCCAGAACTCAAGGACTTGGATTTCTAGATTACAAAGACCCACTTAAGTATGCCCAGTACAGCAGATGGGAAAAAGACCCATTCCAAGGAATATCATTATGACATTTCAGAATAAGCGGGACAAAAAAAAAAAAAATCTCAAGAGTTTCCAGGGAGAAAACATGTCATCCACAAAGGATTAGAATCACAACTGGCTCTAAACAGTGACCCTGCAGAGACAATGGAGCCACGAACCCCAAATCCTGAATGAAAGATCTGCACCAACAACAGATCTCCTGTGAGGGCAGATGTTTTCAGACAGACAAGAACTCTGGGCCCCTTACTCAGGAGAAACAGAGTGTGTATTTCACTATACACAGGAGTGAGAGCAGGGAGCCATGACACCCAGGATACAGATCCAGCGGAGAAGAGAGGCAAGATACCCCTAGGATAGCTTATCTCTGGTTTGGAGAGATTCTATCTGAAAAAGCAAATGGATCTCTTTTTGAGGAAATTCAAACAGTTGGTAGAATCTGAATTGAATTTAAAAAGTAAATACATTGAAAACAAAGCAAAGGACAAGATAAGAATTTTAAATCTAGAGAGGAGAGTTTGCATAAGAAGTGGGAAAGAATAATGGCTCGGGTGTAAAGAGTGCTAAATGTAAATCATAGTCGTGACATTTAAATCCTGAGGGCTGATGAAATTATGATAAAATTGGAGGGAAGTGAGATTGGAAAGGCTATGTGTATAAGACAGAAATTGGAAAAACAAGGAGATCTAAATTTTAATTTTCCATAAATGATAATGTTTAAACCTGAAAAATCAAGAAGCAGGCTATTTAGTGCTATGTCAGTAATTACCAAAAAAATTTTAACTTCATTAAAAATTAACACATTAGAAAAAGCCTCCCCCCTCCAAGATGAAGGGCTGCTACTCTGACGTGTTTTTAATCATATTCTCCTTTGACCCTTCTCCCCTGAGGACCTTTCAATTCTGTTTATTTTAATGCTTTAAGAATACCACCTTTTATCACGTCTTTTACCCTGCCACACAACTTCAGGAGAGAGTCAACATCTGTCTTCTCTTTCTTTAGAGTTAATAGTTCATCCTTCCTCCAACTCAGCACTTCCTTCTTAGTTTCTTCTCTGTTTTGGATTAAAGAACTTTTACTCTCTGGGAAAAAAAAGAAAGGAAAGGAAGTCAGTAGAAATAACAAATACCCATTTTGTGTCAAGCCATTTCTCGAACCTCCCGTGAACATGCTCAACATGCTGGGCTGTGGGACGGTGATGCCACAGGCTGTATGCACGGCTACTCCAAGATGTCCCCGTGTCAGTAATCAGGAGGAATAAAAACAACCAGTATTCTAACGTGGTCAGTATTTTATCACTTCCCCTAATTTTCCTGAGGATTAGAAGCCGTCCCCTGACAACCTCCTGGAGAGAGAAGCCATCATAAAGATGACAAAGATCATCTCTCTATAAGACATACAGGCAAAGAGAGAGGCTTCTGAGCTCGCAACTCCTCAGGAGTCTGAAGTCCACATCTCAACGTGATACTTACGTAACTGCCAGATGTCGAGGAACCGATTAATGTGTTCTAGGATCAGCTCCAGGTGCCCAACTAAAATTGTTCCATTGATGAGGTCATTTGTAATTTTTGTCAACACAGAGTTCGCAGTGGCCATCAACTTCTTGCCTTCCTTGGTGATATTTGCTAATATTTCCTCGTTGGTTCCTGACCAAGTTAAGAAGGAGTTAAAACTGTAGGCATCCCACTTCCTTCCCACATTAATGGATTTCCAGTAACCTCCTATTGCTCTGCCCCAACTTTCATATAATAAAGCAAAGTCATTCTGTATTCCCAGGTATATTTCTCACATTCTTTAGAGGGCAGGATTTTAAAACATACTTAGTTGAACCACCAGAATTTTTCTTTCCCAGTAATATTAGGATCGTACATTTGTCTCATGTCATTAAAAGCAAATATAGAGGCTTTATTCACAATTGCAAAATCTTGGAAGTACCCAAGATGTTCTTCAGTACGTGACTGGACAAACCATAGTCCACCCACACAACTGAATGCTATTCAGTGGTTTAAGAAGTGAGCTACTAAAAGGAACCTTTGATGCATATTGTTAAGTAAAAGAAGCCAATCTGAAAAGGCAACAGAGAGTATGATTCCAACCATATCCCTTTCTGGAAAAAGGCACAACTGTATAGGAGAGGAGAGGGAAGGGATGAACTGCTGGAAAACAAGGAAGTTTGAGGGAAGTGAAACTGTTCCGTAGGATATGGTATTAGTGGATGCAGAGTGTTAAACATTTGTCAAAATCCACAGAAAGTACAGGAGTAAACCCTAATGTAAACACTGGACGTTACTTACTAATAACATATGAATATTGGCTCATCAGTTATAACAATGGTACTGAAGCAAGATGTTAATAATAGAGGAAACTGTGTGTGTTGAGTGGGTAGATATGGGAATACTCTGTACTTTCTGCTTAATTTTTCTGTCAACTTAAAACTGCTCTAAAATATGAGGTCTGTTCATTTAAAAGACACAAATGGAATATTTTCAAGTGAATAGCTTTTAATAGACAACAACAGAACAAGAAGAGCCAAGGTCATCTTCTTATTTGATCACTACAAAACTCTGGCATGAGAGGAACTTGAGTTTTTTTTTTTTAAGACAGTCTCAGTAATTTGATGAAATTGACACTCACAATAATCTGTGGTGCTTTTCCATTAGATCTGAACCTATGACTCACACATAAACCTGAACATAACATTTTTAGGGCAACACACGTTTCCCCTCTTTGGTCACAAACTCTGGGGTCATGGAGGGTAGGGGTGCAAGAGTCAGGCAATACTTAGTTTTTGCTAAGGTCACCAGTACTGGACTGGACATTTACATGGATCTCAGAATAAGAAAGACAGGGCTTTAGATACAGACACACTGGGTTTGGATTTCAGTCCTTAACACTTATTATCGGTGAGACCTTAGGTAAGTCACATTACACTCTCCACCTCAGCTCTTGGTGAGGTTACTATATCAGCCCAGTAGCTGGAATATAGCAGGTATGCCATGGATGGTGGCTTTCAGTGTTAGTTCTCAATTATAATACAAGATACTCTGAGCCTTCCTGGGTCTGTCCGTCCAAGCTGCTTCTTTTGGCAAATATCAACCCAATCTAACGGACTAACAGGTCAAACACTCTGCCGCCACTCTTGAGTCAGGAGGTGCCACTGGACAGATGCTCCCAGCACCCTCTATGAACATACCATATAACTTGAAGAGGTGCTTGATGTCTGGCCATGTGAGCAGGTGATTCAAAACCCCACCCAAGTCGTCTACAAACTCCCCTCTACTTGTTGGCCAGGACTTGGTGATCACAGCAGACACAAGGTTGCCACATTTTTGCAAGTCATTATAAGAGATTTTCCCAAGAATACTGGTTTGAGACTGTAAAAACATGAATAAAGAGACGGATATTTAGAAGGTTATATGGTTGATTTACTTTTTAACAAAGAAGCAAATTAACTACCCAACAGCATTTCAGAAGTCTCTCATAACTAGTTTTACAATGCCTCAAAAAGCCAAAAGAGTAAATAAAATACTTAACTTTTCTGAGGGCATTTCCATTTTCCTGTCCACTGTCTCCTTAAGATTGAACACTGGGGATGTGGAAACAGGTACCCACAGAGATACTGACACAACCCACAAATTACCCCCTTTTCTCTTGCTCAGTGCCATTTTTCTTGGAACTTTCACATTATTAAAAACATCAAACATAATACAAGTAACCATTAATATTGGTACTTTGGTATTATTAACTGTAATTATTTTAAAGTTGCCTACAAACAACACACACATTTTAATTCTCTTCCTAAGTGAATTGATAAAATCTTTTCAACTCTAAACATTTTTCTTTCATAATGCCTTGTTAACCTTTGGGGTCTTTTACTGCATGGTCAGCAAGGGATAATACCAAGGGTGGGTGAGTGGCAATGATAATAATGAGGCATTTAGGAAAAGCCTGCAAGATTGCTGGAGGTTACATGTGAGCTGCTTGATGCAAAACAATAGCAGGAAGCTGAGCGCACTTTACAGAATGGGTAGAGAACACTGGATTTCAGGGTGGGGAGGGGGATGCCCAGAGCCCATTCTTTGCTTGGGTGCAGAGTCTCGGAACCAGCAGTGCTTAATAGGCTTTGGTTGGTGATTTCAGAAAGCAAGTATGCATGCAAATGCACTTCCTGAGTGGGAAAGGTTGTTCACCTGGCAGACGGAGCCCACGGCTTCAATGGCACACGTCTCAAAGCATTTCGTCACACTGTCTTCTGCACCTGCAGCAACCCAGTTAGAGTTGCAGAAGGCAGAAATCTGGAAGAGAGGCCTCTCCTGCAAGACGGGAAGACAAGAGTGTGAGAGGTTAGGGGTGCTACACTCTCAGACCCTGTGCAATGAAAGCACCCTAGTAATTTTCACTTTCCTAGTGTTGTATCAGCTCCCCATTACTGCGGCCTTCTTCCCATCCCAAGAGAAGCATGTCCTCCCCGCCTCTAACCATTAGACCAAAAAGGCCAAAATACCTACTTAGCAGAAAAAGCATCTGGCACAGCAGCTTGCAAAAAACAGGTGAAATGGAAAGTGAGAGTCACTCAGTTGTGTCCGACTCTTTGCGACCCCATGGACTATACAGTCCGTGGAATTCTCCAGGCCAGAATACTGCAGTGGTTAGCCTTTCCCAAGGGATCTTTGCAATCCAGGGATCGAACCCAGGTCTCCTGCATTGCAGGCAGATTCTTTACCCACTGAGCTATCAGGGAAGTCCACAAAACACATGTAAACTTTTTAAAAAGATTTCTTCCTTGCTTCTCTTTTCCTAAAAAGACCCATTTAACAATTACATATAAGCCTCTCATGTGTTTTTAAAAAGCTGAATCCTCTAGGGTCACAGGCTTTAATTAAAAATGGGGAGCACTTTTGTGTTCTCCCCTAGTTGTCACTGGGTTTAACAAGGCTCTTGTCACCAAGAGGCCACTTAGAGCAAAAAGCACGTAGGCTTAATTAGTGCCTATTCAAACTTCACACAAGTCAAGGGTTCCCCTGGTGGGCAGAAACCGTGCCCTTATTCTTTTCTGGGATACCATCTATGGTCAAACTATTAAGGCTGAATCAGAAACGGTCACCTGCAGTCATCACATGTACTGGCTAGTCCATGTGGTCTGGTTCCAAAAAGAACATCCCCTGCCTTTCAGTACCTGTTTGAGCCTCCCTGCCATGTCCCCCAGCAAGGATGCCTTCCAGTAATACTCCGTGGGGAAGTTTATTTCCACCAGTCGCCTCCAGACCTGCAAAATCCACAAATAAGGGACAATCACTAAGACACCTAGATGCCACCGTGGATTTCTGTAGAAGAAGGCAATTACAGTCAGACAAAGAGCACAGTGCTTTGAGGACACGTGGGTTCAGACTCATTTTTGTCCAGTTGTCCGCTGTGTCACTGGTAAGTCAGGGCAACCCACTTTAGCCTCATAAAACAAAGGGTCCTGACTGGACCGGGTCACCACTATGGTCCACTACTGCTCTTCACCCAGAAAGGATTTCCCTCCATTGTTTTCATCTCAAAAATTTCAAACTTAAGAGAAAGTTGCACAGAAAGAATAAAATACTTAGGAGTATATCTACCTAAAGAAACAAAAGACTTATACATAGAAAACTATAAAACGCTGATGAAAGAAATCAAAGAGGACACAAA